TGTATGATGCGCATTAAAGTCGCCCAAAATCAATAGTAGACCGTTTGCTGAAATAACCTTTGTTTTCGTGAAAAAATCACCAAAGTTGATTTTGCGCTGCCTGGGGGAACTATTCACTTTCAGTATAAAAAGACTCTTGTCTTTTCGCTTGCGAGGCGCGAGTTTGACTAAAACATGATCGATCTGCGAGTTTCCCGTCTCGTGCTGCAATGTCGTAATGTTTCTCTTTACGAAGGTCGTAACTTGCGTATCATTACCCGACCCGGCAAAAGATTTGTAACCTGCTAATTTTGCATTTTTCTCACACTCCTGGATCGCAATAACCTCCGGTCGATCGGCGTTGGTAAAAAAAGGTTGTAAAACCGCACGTTTGCGCGAGAAACCCCTACGTTCCACTGCCAAATCGTATTACTGTAAGGGTGCAGAGCCATCTTGGTTTAGCGTGAGCGCTTGGCATAGCCATTCTATCTGTCGGTCCCTGCTAGCAAATTCAGCCTTAATTTGCTCAATAGCGTTGCCTACTTGTTTCATCTGTTCTAGTACATCTTGAAGCATACCTTGTAGTGACTTTGTTTCCACCTCAAGCGCTTCAATTCTCGCTCCGTGATTTTCTTCAATTTCGGTTTCTTTAGCCCTCTTCTTCTTTAAAGGCGGTTGGTTTGCTACCTGGGGTGTTTCCAGCGCCTTCCCTGGTTTACTGGTTAGATGAGCCTTAATCTCATCAAGCTGTTTTCGTATTTACGCATTTTGCTCCTGTAATATCCTGTTTTGCTCTTTAAGAGCATTAATCATCTCTGTATTAGCATCCTGGGAGACCTTAGTTACCCAACCCACCTGTGGTCCTGTGGATTTTGACTTCTCCTGGGCACAATCACCACCATCATGGGATGCCTTGTGAGAAACTCCCGGCTTCTCCAGCGGTCGCAATCAGGGGAAGGATTCCGAGCGCCCTCTCGATCTACTTCAATGCTTGGATTTGCGCCTCGAACGATCTTGAACCCCGTCTGTCCAGCTGTGCCGCTGCGTGCACTCTTCGGCCTTGCGTCGTTCTTCTTGCTTCCGCGCTTCTTGAAGCTTCATTTCCCACTGTCGCTTCTTCACTATAAAGGTGTCCGAAAAATTTCTTTGCACTTTTTGTCTCCGGTCACGTGCTCCTTGCCACACAGACGGCACCTCGGCGTACATTCATTGTCCTTGGGTGGGGAGGCCACCCCACAACCTCTGCAGTTTTCGTGCGGGCTGTCACATATGTCGGATCGATGTCCCAGCTCAGCACACGTGTAACACACCTCATATCTCTTCTTGTAGAGAAAACATTTTATCGGTGTCTCAAAGCAGATCATCCATCTCGGCACGTATTCGTCAACAAAGGTGATGATTACCGAAGTGGAGTTGCCCATCCTTCGCACACCAAGAATAGGACGATTCTCTTCGTGTGAGAAAGCCAGTTCCAATTCTCTCTCAGAGAGTCTGATATCAAGTCCACGTACTACTCCTTTGCCACAGCTTTCAGGCGCAGCCATGTATGTCTTCACCTCCGTCGAGCTTTATGACTTTCAGGTCCAACATTTTCTTGGCATCATCCTCCCTGAGCGTGCTGTATATCAATGTTCCTTGCTTGTCGTTGACAACGATCCTGTCCTCCTCCCGACCTTTCTGCCATGGAATGCCTGCTGTCATTCTTACTGCTCCACCAATCACAGGTGCCGAGTGTCTGGTGAGCGTCAGTCCTTCTTTGGTCCTGATAATAACCTTGTGAACCGCGTTCGGAAGACGCGGTAGATGCGACGCTACTGACCGCTCCGCGAGCTTTTTTCCTGCCGCTTTATATGAGGGTCTCCCGCTTACACCATCCATGTCGCCATTGAAGCCGGCCGGCATCGTCCTGCCTTCTTTTCCGCATCCACTGCTGGTAGACGCCGCCCTGTTGGCGCCATCACGTTCCCGTTGTTGACTCTCCTGGAGCTCCGCCACACGTTTCAACACTTTCGTCACCCAGTCCGAGCTTTCCAATTCTTCTTGATCGGCATCTCTACCATTAACAGTCACTTCCATCGTCATAGTGCCTCCGCAGACGCTCTACGAGCCGACGCCTGGAGCCTCGAACGCCGATCCGACCACCTCGGCGCTAGGCCTAACGGTGGAGTTGGCGAGACGCACAACGTAGCCGAACACCGAAGGCGCAATAAAATCCTTTAAAATTTACTTACAGTTTTCAGAATGGTAGCCAAAGGATCCTGAGCACGTCCGCAACCACATACAGCACTTTATCAGCTGGCTGTTGTCCTTTGCGCGTGAAAAAGTGGTCATTTCACGGAGCCGACGCGGAGCCGTGTCTCACGCCATTGCGAGCCTTGCCGAAAAAAAAAACTGGATATAAGACCAAAAACGCGAAAGCGCCACTCAAGAGTGAGTTTACACGCAGCGCTGGACGAGTCCGTTTGCGTTAAGTCAATCTGTGTGCCGGGGCGGCACACAAATGAAGAAGTGCGTGAAACAAGCGCAGGGTTTCGATTTTTTGGCGCCGTCTAGGTCTGACTGTATGTTTAATTGCCGCCGTGCCACACAGCTTGACCAAGATCAGCGTTAAAATAAGCATCAGGCTTCGACTAAGAAATGTATCCTATAGCGTGCTGAAGGCTAGAAAAAAAGATATCTCAACGCACTCAATAAATGCTGCGCTTCATGCCAATCGACCGACGATATCGGCCAAAGCATGCGATCCCGAAATGAACTTTTAGCACACTGTTACAATCATCCGCATCCCCTGAGATCTTTAAAATGAGGATTTTTTATCCGCAGTAACGTACCATACAATGAAAACTGTCTTCTGTATTGTTATGCCTGCGAGTCCACACCGAACGTCAATGCCTCTCCAAAGGCAATCTGTGTCAAGGCCAACGGTCAAACCCGCCTGACGCGGTTACCTCAACGACGTCATCACGCGAGGGCGCCGGCCTCCCTGTGCGTTGGGAGCTCGCTGGGCGACGCAACGCACAGCGAGCTCCCTCAGCCAACACCATCTAGAAAAGGTCAAGGCCCCTCCACTGCCGCCGTGACGTCACCGCACCTTGACCGACTCCTTAGCGGGGCAGCGCGCGGTGCTGCCGCCACTGTCATGCATGCGGTCACCTTTCCAGTTTTTTTGCAACTCCTGAATATATAACAGAGCGACAGGAGTGGGGCAAAGAACCAGCGTTCACTTTCATAGTTTTACAGGACAATTAAATATTTTTCAAGCACTCACAAGATCAACTGGAGACGAAAACATGATGTGAACACATTTATATCCAATGACAGCACGTGGAACATATATAAAGAAACAAGAGCTACGAATGTAGATATTAGGAATACATTATCATGAGTACATCAAAGAAAAGAAGAGCATAAGCACATGTAGCACTATTGCTGAGCATAAAGGCAAATTTATGAACTTAGATCAGAAGTCACCTATGTATGGAAGCGTTCACAGAGGTATACAATGGACAAAATAAAATGATGTAAGGTACTCATTTTGAACGAGCTCGTAAAATGGCAGGCATGCAACTTCAAGAGCACATTTCAATTAAGTGTAAGAACCTTCCTCTGCTTGACACTTAACTTTGCTTTTGTCAAGGCGTCGTTTCTAGTTCTTGCATAATTTTTTAACAGTGTGTTCACAGCAGGCCGTACAATATTTTTGAGGACAACATCCGGACAGTGACCGCGAGCGCACATTTCGAGGCCTTCACTATCAGACAACAAAAACTTCTGCTCAGCAGTGACAACTTTTGGTTATTCTCTTTGTGGAAAACAAGCAGGTACTCGTCATTTGTACAATGCTCCAACACAACTTTCGTACACAGTACAGCGTACAAAAGGCTGCGGGAACTTCAGACCTCCCCGGTTCACTTCGTCTATGAGCACATGTTCGCTTTGGTCAAGTACTCTTTCTGCGATAGTCAGCTGCATGCAACAATCCTCGCATGGCTGACGCTTTAAGGCAGCATGGGCACAGTAGCCAGCTATATACACAACAGCTGGCATATCTGTGCGAGGCTTCTTTAGCTCGCTGTCTAGCACTGGTATGTTGTACTTAGCCAGAAGCACCTCAGGGTTGGGCTCTTTCTCACCTTCTTTTGAAGCCTCAGGAAAATCCTCTAAAATCAACGTATCCTGCAAGCGAAGTGTTGCCTCTGCTTCAAGTAGTTGTGTGATTGAAATGTGGTACTGTGCACCACACAGCTGCCTGTATTTGCCAAATCTTGCTTCCAGGCCATCTGTCTGAAATTTACCATGAAGAACATATCTGAAGCAAAGTTCTTCCAAGCAGTACCGGGAAACTTCAATGAGAGCATACGTTGTTTGGCGGAGGGCGGAGTGTGTTTGAGTTGTCAGCTTGCCTGTGTCTTGCTTTACTGCCTTCCAGCTATCGAGCCAGTCAACGAATTCATCCAGATACTTCAGTTGGTGGCAGCTTACTTCGCTTACAGGCTCCTGCCAAACATTCCGCAATCGCTGACCCTTGTGAGCGCTTTTAACATTCACAATGTCCCACCATTTCACAATGACATCAATAAATTGTGCTGTGCCTTCTGCCACTTCGAGCCTTAGTTCTTCCCCTCGAATCCTCAAAGCTGCCGAGACAAAACCGCTGAAAACCTTAAGGGCCAGTCGAACATTTTGTAGTTCGAGATTACTGGGGTGCAGAGCCTTGTGGGTGAGCCCGTAAGCAACCTTTGCAATGCTGCTCTGTTCTGCCTCATGGAGGTCTCTTAGGAAACTGAATGAAGCACCCTCCATTTTTCGACAGTTCAGCGAGTCGCTGTGAAACGTGGGATAGTACAGACACTTGCCCGAATTTTTCTGGTTAAGCCAGTTGTTCTGAACACATTTTAATAAATGCACAGAATCAACAACATGAAACAACGGCTGCTGTGCATTCGCAGGATGTGGGTATGCGATATCCAAGCTGGCACCTTTTTTTTGCCAAACATTGCCATCATTTTTCGGTTCAGTTGTCAGTTATCACTGCGACTACATGAATGCCAGCATCTTCTAGGCCTATGATTATCTTATTGAGAACATCATGCAGCTCCTCCGCTGTAATTATAGACACCGGCAGAACATGTACTACATCTTTGTAGGACGACAGAAGAGACTGAACCATGAAGACATGCGCAGTTTTTGCTGGCTCAGCACTGTTGGAAGCAGAGCCTGTCACACAGCCGCCTTTATACTCAATGTACTGCTGCAAATGTATCTCGTCCACCATCAACGTAACATTTCGCTCCTGTGACTTCAGTGAACTCGCCCTTCTGATCACGTACCGCAAGAAACCGTCTTCGAACTGCTCCTGTAATGGGCTAACATCATGTCGGCCACACACTCTTTTAACAGTACTAGGATGTGGCAAAATGACCACACCGCTGTTTCGTAAGAATCTGTACGCATGTGGTGAAATGGTAAATAATATGCTAGCCAGAACTAACAGTTCAGAGGAGTAGCTCAAACCATTGATTTTCTTTGACAAAATCAAACACTGCTCCTTAAGAAATTTCAGAACATCAGCCCTCTCATCGTCTACCAACCCTTCAGTTGTAACGTTTTGCAATTGGGTGCACACAAGACGGAGCGTTGAATTCACTTCAACGACCTCCTGGGGTGCTTTTGTCGTGCAGAAGTCCTCCACATTACATAAACGCTCCACTAACCTGCGAAAATCCTGGATTTTTTCCGGAATCTTCAGGTTGTCGTTCGATGTCAGTAGAGCACGCTTCCAGAACACGCGCACGCACAGGTCTGACGACACACACACTGACGAACGTGAGCGAAGATGACGCAACCTTCGCGGACTGTTTGTGACCAGAACTTCTTTTGATGCAATCGAGTCAGCCTAGAAGTTATATCTTCGAAGTTTTCGACCTTGTTCTCGTCCTGCTCTGCAGCAAATGCCAGCGCTGATTCCTGGATAGCTTCGAGCAACTGTTCATTTTCCTTTCGCCTTCGCTTGACGTCGGGCTCTTCTCGTGACGTTTGAGAATCAAACAGATAACTCGGGCATCCAGGAAAAATGGTAGGAGCAGCATCAGGCATCAGCCGGGTCAGCTTCATCGGAACCTCAATAGTCCACCCATCGCCGTCGGTGTACTTTGACGTCGTTCGAAGGTGCTCCGCTTTGAAATGAAGCTCGCAGACCTGCACATTGTAACACAGAGAAGGGGCGAAGTAATGCACCGTGAAGCTTGACACCGTCCACCTCATAAAGCAAAGGTGATACAGCATTCTTCTTATAAAGAATAACGAAGCCGCAATGGGTGATTGCACAGCTTGGTTAGGAAACAGCACCCCGACGACCAACGCGTAAAGCACGTGCAAAACGCGTGAGCAGCTATAACAATCACAGCGCGTTAAATACGAATGTTACGCATTCAAGAAAAGGGTGTATTCGAACGCTTACCTGAGGGTTCTTGAGTTGACACGTCAATGTCGTCACGCTGGACGGCACGCTGCCATTTCGCTTTCCGCACAGGATCGCTCGGGAACGAAAACAAACGCACCTTAGGCCTGTTGTCGTAATTTCCCTTGCAGTTGGGCACGCAACAGCGTCCCATCGTGATGCGCTGTACATGTAGTAGGTCAAAACAAATCGTGAAAGCAAATTGCAACCGCACAACCACAAACACCACTAGCAGGCTGACGCAACACGCCGAAAAAAACGTGGCTTCGCCGGCGCGTCCGTATGGTCTGATGATGATGATGATGATGATCTCTGTGGTCTTCCCCTTTATACCGGGGGGCACCTTTTAGTGTCCTGACCGGAACGAGAAAAAAAAAGGAAAGAAAAATCACACCAGGTCCATGAACATCACAATTGTTCACTGTCTCCTTGACCACCACTGTAGAAGCCTTGCTTTGGTTATTGCTGTCGCTGCCAGGGGGTGCACGTTAGTATCGCGGCTGTCGCCTCTCGGTGCGCCGCAGTCTTTCACAAAGCCGACTGCCTCCTGTAGTGTGGCGCCATCTGTCTGACGGGGACACAGGCATTCGCAGTGAAGCACCAGGTGTTCAATGTTCTCCTCGTCTTTCCCGCATGTCCTGCACTGCACAGCGCCGTCGACCAACGACGGGTCGAAGTGACGGCAATACACCTGGGTACGGAGCGCTCCAGCATGGGCCTCAAACAGAAGCGCACTGCCGACATTATTGTCGTATAATCGTTCGGCGGAGACGGTGGTCTTGTGAGCTCTGTATAGGGCCAGGCTGGGTTTCTTCTCCTTAGCCGCCTGCCACATCGACGTCTCAGCTTCCTGCACACTATTCCGTACTCCCACTGCCCATTTCCTCTCACTGTCCTCCTGGACAGGGTCAGTAAAAAGGGAGTACTTGCGGCACAGATTGTGGAGACGCCTGCGCCATGGTGTGTTCATGGCCTTGATAGCTGTGTATATAAATACACGACGGGACCACCGCTGGTCGTTCATGAGGCGAAGACGTCCTTCGTAGGCCGCCTTGCTCCTAGCCTCGCGTGCCTCGTAACTTGACCATCCGAGGTCGCCTTGTATAGCTTCGACAGCCACACGTCCATGACACGCCAGCGCCAGTCGCCCGACATCACGTTGACCTCTTTCCAACCACTGGCGTGTTGCTGCCGACAGGCAGATAACGGCGTTGGCGAATGTCAGCACTGGCACATGTACTGCCTTCCACAGTTCGCGCACCAGTACAAACCGGTTGCACCTCCACAGACTCCGCCATCGCAGCACGTTGGCGGCCCTCACTGAAGCCTGTCGAACGTGCTCCTCTTGCTTGTCATAGATATCTGCGAAGGTGCAAAGGTTGACACCGAGATACCGGTACTGGTTTGATACCGGAATGCTTCTTCCGTCGGGAAGCTGCACATCAATGGTCTCCACGCCTGAAAACTGCAATATAGCCGATTTTTTGGCATTGAAGTGAAGGCCCAGACTCTTCAGGTGGTCGGCCGCCAGTGTTACCAACCTCTGAAGGTCACTGCTGCGCTCAGCCAGTAATACTAGATCATCCGCGAATACCAAGCCAGGCAGCGTCCATGTCTGCGCCACCCCACCAATCATGAGGTGGAACGCGAAGCCAACTCCCGATTACACGAGTGCCTGCTCGAGTCCCGCCACATATAGCATGTATAGCAGCGGAGACAAAGGGCAGCCCTGCCTGAGTCCTCTTGTCACTCTCAGAGGCTGTGTTCTGGTGCCTCTGAAGCGTGCTACCAACGAGCTATCTGCATAGAGCCGCCGGAGAAAGTCTGTCCACAGGCTCGGCATTTGTCGTTGGTCTAACTGGTGGAAAAACTCCTCGTGTGGCACACTATCATAAGCCTTGGCGACATCCAAAAAGCATCCAAGCAGACCTCTGGTTTCTCTCCGTGCCACCTCGATGGTCTGGGTGAGCACGAAAAGATTGTATTCCAAGCGTCGGTTCCGTCAGAAGCTATTCTGGAGTTCCGACAGTATGCCCCTCTTCTCTGCCCAGCCGCTCATTTACACCTTCAAGACTTGAGTGAAGAGTCTATATAGGACGCTTGTCACCATGATTGATCTATAGTCGCCCAGCACTCCAGCGTCGCCTCCTCTCTTGCACGCGAGGCTTACTCTGCCGCATTGCCAGTCAGGTGGGATTGGGCCGTTCTTGAGGATGGTATTGAAAATTCCCGCGAGGTCTTCTCGAGCAGACTTCCCCAAGCATTTCACAAGGCCCGCCGGTATGCCGTCCAGTCCGGTAGCAGTGCTTGCACTGATACGCGGGAGTGCACGCTCAAGAGCGATCCTTGTTATCTGCCAATGGTTCTCTTCACTTGGCTGGTGAGGCTCATCCGGGTCGCCGTTTACTGCTGAGGTCGATTCGTCATGTGTGGGATTGAAGAGCTCTTGCATGTGGGTCGTGAGGTGCGCTGCGAGGTCGGTGACCGGTAGGTTGCTAGAGTGGTGTCGAATTTCAGGTGCCGGAGTTTGGCGATGTAACGAAGACACATATTTCCAAAATTTGTTTGCACCGTTACGCCCTGCCTCTGTGATAGCTCGCAATTGTTTGCTATTGTACTGAGCTATTTTGTTTGTACGAGGATCCGCATCTCTCTTTTGAGGCGGAGGTATTCCTCCCAGGTACTCATGCACTCCTCTCCGGGTGATGTCCTAACAGCCGCTCTGTGTAGGCGATTCGCCGTTCGTCTTGCAATAAGGGCCCGTTGTACTTCTTCGTCCCACCAGCTTTTGCGCCTTAGGCCGCTGCGGGAACTAACGCGAATTTCGTGCTTCTTCACGATGCGTCTCAGTTCGAGCACAAATTGATCATATGTGGGTGGTTCCGTCGGTTGAAAGTTCTGCTCGAATGCTTCCGCGACTGCCGCATACTACGACTGCGGGAGGTGCCTCTCAGCTGGGTTGCGATGTTCCTTCGCAATGGTTCGCCAGGAGGATAGAGAAAAGCTCAACTTGATTCGATTGTGGTCACTTCCTATGCTGAATTCACCCTTTTCATCGATGTTCATGTGGGTGAGACGTCGTGCTAAAGCAGGTGTCGCAAGCACGTAATCAATACAGCTGCGACTGTTCCTGGCACTCCTGGTGTACTGTCCTTCACATTCTGGACGAAGATTTAGCACATATAAGGCGAGTGTACGTGCCAGTACCAGTAGTAGTTCCCATTGGTATCTTGGAAGCCCTCAGAGCTTGGAGGTGCCCATTGAAATCGCCCATAATGAGAACCTCTCACTGGTTTGCCCATCTTGACACGTCTTCCCTGATGCACTGCGCCATTCTTGAGTTTCCAGCATCGGCTCCAGCAGATACGGCAAAGTAGGCCACCCCTACCAGGACTGCCAGCCCTTGCAGGTAGCCCTCGACCCACATATGCTCAACACACGGGCTGCCCAGTTTCTTCCAAGCTGAGCTAGTTTTCCACAGGAAACCTATTCCTCCCCCTTTCCTCGATTCACCTGAACGCTTCAAGCCAGCCCACTGCCAACTTTTATGTACTGGTGGCTCTTCCATGACTCGAAGGTGTGTTTCAGCCACGGCATATATCTCTATATCTTCCTCACCCATCATCTGATATAGTTCTTCCCATTTGCTCGCCGTTCGAGCACCATGTAGGTTAAGGAAGCCTACATGTATATCCGCGTTCTTCTTGCGGCTGCGGCGACGGCGGGTCGACTTTTTCTTTACGTCCTGTGCCAGGAGCGCTTCTGCCTCCTCTGTGGATTGGCCATTTGTAGGATTGCCTGTCCCAGGGCAGTCATCATGGAGATTGTTGGTTTCACCCTCCATGCCCTGAGCTTGTAGTTGCCCGACGGGCGAAGCCCTAAAAAAGCACATAGTCTGCGTCCCAATCGTTGTCCTAGTTGCTCGGCGACGTATTAACTGTAGGAAGTCCCTCGCCTCGTCGCGCCATCTGTTGCAGAAAAAGGGAAACAGAACGCCGTACTGGCTCAGGCGAACCTCGGGCATCGTGGGGTGACGTCACACCGCCGGCGAAGGGAAGTGGAGAGGCCTTGAGCTTTTCTAGATGGTGTTGCCTCAGCCTACGAGCCCGTTGAAGCAATCGGCGCCTTCCAGTCTGGCGAGTCTTACGCAATGCATGGCGGCGTCACTCGTCCTTGGGTGCAACCACGCGCAGCTGCTCCGGATTTGATGAGCATGACGTGGCCCAGCGGCGGGCCCCATTGGAGGATTCTGACATCACGTCCAGTGGCGCTTCTGGTTGGACGTTTGGTGACTCAAAGGATCCACCCCGGGACTATAAAAAAAGCCCTGCGGCGTGTCGCCAGGAGTAGACGTATGTGTCATAGAACCCTCTCGGTTGGTTTGAGCACTTTTCGCAGTCGGCACGCCCGTTGTCCTCGGCAGCGGCGAGTTTCGTGGCGCCCTTCGTTACCTCGTCGGCGGTGCGCTTCGTAACAGAGAGAGAAGCCGACAGATGCGTGCGAGAGAAGACATCTCGGCTCTTCGAGTCCCTAAGCTGTCAGCCCCAGTGCCGAATTTGTAACGCCTCTATTTCTATTCTGTACATAAACCTTGCCTTAACTCACCGTCGTCTCGTCCGCTCGTCCATCGGCTCTGCGCAGAAGCAGTCGCGAGCTGAGTAGCACCCGCTACCAAACGGCTGGTGACCTTGGCGGCGGAGTTCGGAGCAGTGGCGCCTTCGGGACTGTGTTGGCATCTCGGCTTCGTAACAGTATCGACTAATCTGCTAGACAAACTGACAGTACCCCCGAGAAGCATAAAAGCATTGCAGATCATTTCGGTGCGATAAAAAAAAGTTTCCGTACCGCTCATGGCTTTCGTAGCTGGTCGTCGACGCAGTCACGTTGAGCCTAAACAAAAACCAATTTATATAGCCCTGGCATTGCACGGAGAGATGTTTTTATACGAAGCGGTACAAAAATGCGCACTTGCTGCTGCCAACCCGCGTGGTGCATCGAACCGGAAGCCGTCGTATCCCACAGTTCAATTTGAGCGCCTATGTTACCTCTCACCCATTTTGTTATGCAACCAAAAGAAAAAAAAAGAGATAAAGAAAGGAAAAAAAGAAAGAGAAAAGAATCACAGCATGTTCACGTTCTGAATGTTGATGACTGATGAGTGGGTGAAACGTCCGCCGGTCCATCCGCGCCTCTTCCGTCCGTTCGTTCTTCCTTCCGACCATTCGTGTGCCCGTTTGTCCATCCGTCCATCTGTCCACCCATGCGTCCTTGGTTCATCCTTGCGTGCATCCATTCATCTGTGCGTCCGTCCGTCCGTCCACCTGTCTGTGTGTCCAACCGTCCGTCCATCTATGCATCTGTCTGCCTGTCCATCGATCTGTTCGCACGTTCGTTCATCAGTTCGTCTGCTTGTCTGTCTGTCCATGCGTCCATCCATCCGTCCGTTCATCTAGCGAACACTCTAAGTACCACCATCTCGCATCTTTTTATCATATATTCATCATTTATAGAAGTACTGCCATGCAGGGGACATTCCAAAGATTAAAATAGAGGTGGTTACCTACTACTACTACTACTACTACTACTACTACTACTACTACTACTACTACTACTACTACTACTACTACTACTACTATCACTACTACTACTACCACCATAATCATCATCATCACCGTTATTATTATTATTATTAATATTATTATTATTATTCTACATACATTGCGGATGCACGACCCTCGGCTTAAGGAGCTTCAACCCTCAAACTATCACGTCACGCTTCGCGTTCCATTATTTTTTCCAACACACATAGGCATGTGGAGAGTTTCCCTTCAAAGGGAATGAAGGTTCGTCGCAGCGCGTCCCTTCTATGTAACTGTAGGATGCTGACTTTGCACGCCCCTCCCTCGAGCCGCAGCGCTTTCCTTTTATGTCAATAAGGCTGGCTTTGTCAATGTATGAGGCTGGCGTTGCGCTCTCCCCTTTCCCCCCTTCTTAGGTCTCTAGGAGAGGCAGCTGCCACCTTGACCACCTCGTGAGCATGCTTATGCCAATAGAGCAAGGGCTTGTGAATATGTTCTTCTGGTAGATAAATATATATATATATATATATCATGCAAAAGGAATGGAGAATGCTCTGTCATAAACTAAATGCAACATGTAAATCTGGCGTAAAGCTCATTATGCTTAAGGTTTGAAAAATAGATAGCATAAATATGACAAAATCAGTGCTACGGAATATCGCAAGATGAATAACTATGGTTAATTTATTACACTGCTAGACTATAGAAATTCCTTTTTTCCACCCATACATTGCACACCAGTGGAAACATCAAAGCGAGGAAAAAAAAGACCTATCTTGTCAGTTGGGTTTTGGCAAGTGCTGTTCTCCTTGAGATCGGGCTATAGGGGGCAGCACCGGTACCACGCTAGTATGGATAGGCGGCCGGCGGCGTGCATAAGAAAAGTACGCAGTGGTGCATTTGCTGAGAGATGTGAGCCGACTGTCGGCCTATTAAGGGTGTTGACTGCTGCCTACTCGTAATATATATGCCATCTATTGCTGAATAGATGCATCAAGCTCGTCGATTAACGTTCGACAAGCCTATTACATGCAATAGAAACGCAATCTAGCATTAGAAAGGATGTTCGGGCTTGGGAACTGTTTGCGCTTTCGTACTCTGCCACGTTTTTTGTATTTATATTTTCAATGATGCGCTTGTATCCCGTCTAGTATACAACGTTGTAGTCTGACTGAATTTTTTCTTCACGCACACTGGTACTAGATAAAAAAGAAATGAATACCGTATTCTTAAGTGATGAGCCCAATTATAGAAATCAGTGTTGTTGTATTATTTAGTTCCTCATAAAATAAACGTAGCGTATTTGATAAGTTTATTAAAAAAGGTTGCACAATTTAAAGCGCTTCGGCTGGCATTTTCTTACTCTTATAACAGCATAAAAAGGTAATAGTTCTGTCCGCGGCTTTCTTAGATTGATTATTTGCGTCACAGTGATGCAACAACGGTTCGAATATTTGATATATAAGACAAAAGTATTCTTTTTTACGTGAATACGTGCCCACTACTTTTTTCGGTCTATCACAGGGCCACGAAAGCAGTCGAGAAATGTAAAAAAAATGATGTTCTGCGTGAATATATAAGACCTATGTGGGGCGTGCCGTCTAAACTACTCTTGGCATTCTGAGTTCTTATAAGCGAACCCCATTATAAGAACACGTTTGTGTGCATAAATTTCGCCCGATGTAAAAAAAAAGCGCGCGAAAACTCATGTTAAATCACCTCCGTGCCATTACGTTTTTATTTTCTTCTTAGGAACAATTGAAATGCCAAAGAGCCAAATTCACTAGGCAGTCATGGAACCTGGACCATACAATCAAAGGTTATTTCAAGAGAATGAAGGCTCGTCGTAAAACCGATAAGCGACAGCGCCACA